TATAAGTCACTTGAATTTCTTTTTCAGTGAATTATTATCTATTCATCTAAAGAACTCTGTATGTATCTCTACTGAAGTAGTAATTCTTACTAATCCATATAAGCTTTTTATATATTAAAGACATTAATTCCTTATATTATTGCAAATATTTTATATCACATTATCATTTTGCCTTTAAAGTATTTTTTTAACATACAAAAATTTTCTATGGAACCAAACCCAAACTCTTTTTATTTACTTTTGGCTCTTCTTCCACTGTTTTAATGCTCAGAGAATCCTTCCTTTTACTAAGATCTGATGAATATTTAAAGTTTCAAGACTTTCTAGCCCATACTATTGATCAAGTTATCAATCCTTGTATCATTATCACATTTGATTGCTCTCACTTCCCCCTCACCAGTCTTTTTAACAATATTTTTATTATTAATGTCTATAGGATCTATAATATTTTATTTATAAAATAGGTAAATTTTCTTATTTTTGTCAGTCTAATGACCAGTTCATAAATTGTCAATTTTTTTCAAAGAACCAACTTTGGCTTTGTCAATTTTGTCTATTACTTATTTTCTATTTCATTGATTTCTCTTATCTCCTTTGTTTTTTCATTCTATTTACTTTGGGTTTACTTTATCTCTTTTTCTAAATTTTATTTTTTTTAAAATATTTTATTTATTCATTTGTCAGAGAGAGAGGGAGAGAGAGACAGAGTGCAAGCACAAGCAGGGGGAGCAGCAGGCAGAGGGAGAAGCAGGCTCTTGCATCGCAAGGAACTCAATGCAGGACTATCCCAGGATCCTGGGATCATGACCTGAGCTGAAGGCAGCCGCTTAACCAACTGAGCCCACTCAACGTCTCTCTCTCTCTCTCTCTTTTTTTAAGATTTTATTTATTTATTTGACAGAGAGAGAGAGTGAGAGAGAGCACAGCAGGAGGAACAGCAGGTAGAAGGAGAGGTAGAAGCAGGCTCTCAGCTTAGTGGAGAGACTGAGGCTGATTGAGCCACCCAGGGCCCTATTTGCTAGATTTTCAAGGTGAAAACTTAGGTCACTGATTTTAACCTTTCTTCTTTTCTATCAACTGAATTATTTAAAATATTAATTATATTATTTAAAGCTATGGTTTTATTCTAGTTTTGGCAATATCCCTCAGTTTTCATACACTGAATTTTCATAATCATTTCAAAATCTTCTCTACTTTCTCTCCCGATTTCTTCTTTGATCCATGCCCTAATTACTTAGGATTTTCCTTCTATCTTATTTTTCTAATTTAATTATATTGTGGGCAGAGAACATGCTCTGTTTGATCTCAATCCTTTGAAATTTAGTAAGACTCATTTAATGGCCCAGAATATGGTTTTGGTGAATATACCATCAGAACTTGAAAAGAATATACAGGCACACCTCAGAACTATTTCAAGTTTGGTTCCAGACCACCACAAAAATGTGAATATCAGAATAAAGCAAGTACAATGAATTTTTTGTTTCCCAATGGATATAAAAGTTATGTTTATACTACACTATTAAGTGTGCAATAGCGTCTTTTTAGCAATACTTTATTGCTAAAATATGTAGTTATGCATGTAGTTACAGCAAACTTTCACCTGAGCTTTCAGGGGGCTGTAATTACCGATCACAGACCACCATAACAAATATAATAATAATGAAAAAGTTTGAAATATTGTGAAAATTACCAAAACGTGACACGGAGATACAAAATGAGCAAATGCTATTGGAAAAGTGTTGCCAGCAGACTTGTTTGACACAGAATTGCCACAAACCTTCAATTTATTTAAAAAAAAAAAAAAGCCAGTATCCACACAGTGCAATAAAACAAGACGTGCCTATATAAGCTGCGGAGCTGAAGTTGCTGTGTTTTTGGTGTTCTATAAATGTCAGTTAGGCCAAGAGGGTTGATGGTATTGTTCATATTTTATAGACCTTTATGGATTATGTTATCTAATTCAATCAAATGCTGAGAGAAGGGTGCTAAAAATCTCCAATCAAGTTTGTGTTTTTTGTTTTTGTATTTTTTTAGTGTAGTTGACAATGTTACATTAGTTTTGGTTGCACAACTTAGTGAATTGACAAGTTTATACATGATGCTATGATGCTATAATCACATACATAACTACAATCCATCCCATTACATTGCTATTACAATATCATTGACTGTATTCCTTATGGTCTGTTTTTCATTTGTTTCTGTATTTTGAAGCTGTTATTAGGCACATACACATATGTCATTGTTACATCTTCCTTAAGAACTGGACTTATTTTTTTTATTAGAGAGAGAGAGTGAGCAGGGGGCAGAGGGAGAGGAGGAAGCAGGCTCCCCACTGAGCAGGCAGCCCAATGCAGGACTTGATCCCAGTACCCTGGGATCATGACCAGAGCTGAAAGCAGATGCTTAACCTACTGAACCAACCAGTTGTCCCTAGCCCTTTTATTCTTAAGAAATTGTCCATACATACAATAGAATATTACTCAGCCAATAGAAAGGATGAATACCCAGCTTTTGCATCAACATGGATAGGATTGGAGATTATGCTAAGTGAAATAAGTCAAGGAGAGAAAGTCAATTATCATATGGTTTCACTTATTTGTGGAATGTAAGGAATAGCACAGAGGACATTAGGAGAAGGAAGAGAAAAATGAAGGAGGGGAAATCAGAGTGGAAGACGAACCATGACAGACTATGGACTCCAAGAAACCAACTGAGGTTTTTAGAAGGGAAAGAGGTGGGGGGATGGGTTAGCCCAGTGATGGGTATTAAGGAGGGCACATACTGCATGGAACACTGGGTGCTATATGCAAACAATGATTCTTGGAACACTACATCAAAAACTAATGTTTTATTGTATGATGACTAACATAGTAAAAGATTTTTTTAACATAATATAATAAAAAAGATTCATCTCTAGCAATATGCTTTGACTTGAAGATTACCTAAAATAAGTATAGCTATTGTGACCTTCTCACTGTTTTTATGATGATATATCTGTTTCTAACCACTAACCTTTCTTTCATTCAAGATTTTATTTACATTGAAGTTAGTTAACATAGTGTAGTATTAGTTACAGGGGTAGAATTTACTGCTTCATGATTTGCATATAACACCCAGTGTTCATTATATCAAGTGCCTTGCTTAATGCCCATCACCCAGTTATCCAACCCCTCACCCACCTCCTCTCTAGGGTTTGTTCAAAACCCTCAGTTTGTTCCTGATTGTTAAGAGTCTTGTGGTTTGTCTCTCTCTCTCTGTTTTTGTCTTTATTTTTCCCTCCTTTCCCCTATGTTCATCTGTTTTGTTTCTTAAATTCCACATATGAGTGAAATCATATAGTATTTGTCTTTCTCTGACTGAATTATTTCACTTAGCATAATATCCTCTAGTTCCATTCATATTGTTGCACATGGCAACAGTTCCTTCCTTTTGGTGGCTGAGTAATATTCCTCTATGTGTGAGTGTGTGTGTGTATCATGTCATCCGCAAATAGTGAAAGGTTGATGGGTATTAAAGAAGGCACTTATTGTGACAAGCACTGGGTGTTGTATGTAAGTTATGAATCACTAAATTCTACCCTGAACCTAATATTACATTGTATGTTAACTAACTGGAATTTAAACAAAAACTTGAAAAAAGAAAAAAAATAATGTTTCCTATTGATAGCTTATAGTAGCTATCAACTAGCTATTTTTTAATCCACTCTTATAATCTCCACCTTTAATGGAGTGATTAGCCCATTTATAGTTAATGGGATTATTAAAACTTATCATATTTGGGTCTAACATTTTACTATTTGTTTTCTGTTTGCTCTCTCTGAGTTTTGTTACTCTATCACTTCTCTGCTTTATTTTGGGTTAATTTTTTTCTAGGATTCCATCTTAATTTATTGCCAATCTTGTTTTTGAACATTTTCTTGATTATTCTTGACCACGAAACTTAGTAATTATCTGTGAATCTCATTCCCCACCCCAACACCACAAAACAAAACCAAACAAAAAATTAAAGATAAACCATCTTGCCAGGATTCCAATTAGATTAGAATTGAATTACATTTATAAATTATTTTGGAAAGAAATACACGTTTACAATATTTTATTCCTATATAGCTATCTCATATGTCTATGTACTCAATAATTTTTTCAATATTTTTTGTGGTCTTCTTTACCCAAATGTACATGTTTCCTGTTAAAGTTACATGCATGTATTTTCCATTAATCTTAATATTATAAATGACAATTATCCAATGGTGTTCTATTTTTTTTTTTTTTATGCCCAGCACACACCTTCTGGGAATTACCTGTTTTTGAAATAAGCATTGAGATAAAAATTGAGACAAAGTTGAAGACATGAAATACTATGAAGTGTATAATACTATATCATCCAACAATAAACTTATAATTTCAACCATTTAATATAATGTTGGGGGTACAGGAAGGAATATTCTAATCCACATAAAACTGGCTAAATGTGACTAATTTAAATGAGCAACAACAAAAAAATACTATATTATACTTCTATATACATTATTCATTGTTTAGGATTTTTCTAAGGCTTTAAGTATATAAACTCATTTAATATCCATAAAACCAATGGCAAAAAATCCTTTTTTTAAAGATTTTATTTGTCAGAGAGAGAGACAGAGTGAGCGAGCACAGCAGGAGGAGCAGTAAGCAGAGGGAGAAGCAGGCTCCCTGACTAATAAGGAGCCCAATGGGGGACTCTGTCCCAGCTCACAACCTGAGCTAAAGGCAGATACTCAACTAACAAACCCATCCAGGTGCCCCCTCAATGGCAAAAATTCTTGTTTCCATTTTACAGATGAGAAACAGGAAGCTATGTATGTACCCAAAATCCTACATCCAGAAGACACTCAACCAGGTGGCATCAGAGTCTGGTCTTAACTACTATACTGTGCTGTCTCTACTGATCAAATAAGGCACATCTTAATTTTCAGTTTCAATTGCCAAATATGGAAATAAGCACTTTACTGTTCTATCACTGAATAGCATAAATCACTACAAGAAGAAAACTAGGTTTTTTAAAATTAACAATAATTTTTTTAAAATAGCATAAATATAAAAATAGCATAAATCACTACAAGAAGAAAACTAGGTCTTTTAAAAATAACAATAATGTTGTTATGTACACATATGTAAATTAAAAAACACTGACTAATAACCCGGAGAATTTTTCACACTGAGAAATGAAAAGTTTGTTTAGAAGTTAGGCACATGAACTATAAAGCCAAATTAATTTTAAACTGCTTTTAGCTGCAATTTAAATCATCCCTATCCTGAGATTCTTTTTTTTATAAACAGGTATCAACTGAGGAACCTTAAATTGAAACAAAAACGTAATAGGGAAACTGTGCTACATTATCAATACTCAGAATCTTTTTTTTTTTTTTTTTAAATTTCCTCTGCTTTGTACTCTGCTCCAAGACAGTTTGATACTAAAGAATGAAAATTACTTGAGGGGCACCTGGTGGCTCAGTCAGTTAAGCTTTTGACTCTTCATTTTCACCCAGGTCATGATTTCAGGGCTGTGAGTTGGAGCCCCAATTTGAGCTCTGCACCAGTGAGGAGTCTACTTAAGATTCTCTCTCTCGGGGCGCCTGGGTGGCTCAGTGGGTTAAAGCCTCTGCCTTCGGCTCAGGTCATGATCTCAGGGTCCTGGGATCGGGCCCTGCATCGGGCCCCGCATCGGGCTCTCTGCTCAGCAGGGAGCCTGCTTCCCTTCCTCTCTCTCTGCCTGCCTCTCTGCCTACTTGTGATCTCTGTCAAATAAATAAATTCTTAAAAAAAAAAAAAAAAGATTCTCTCTCTCCCTCTGCTCTTTCCCTGCTCATTCACTTGCTTACTCTCTCTCAAATAAAGAAATACATCTTTTTTAAAAAAAAGTTTTCTGCTCCTCCCCACCCCTGCTTACATGCATGAGTGCATTTGTGTTCTTTCTCTCTTAAAAAAAATTACTTGAGGTACCAGTGTACAGTTTTTTAAAAATAAAACTTTAGTTTCTCATTATTACCTGATCTGATGAGATTTCTGAATCAAATATAGTAGAATCGAACAAATTCAATCCAGGAGATCTAGAAGTATAATTTGTAAGAAAAGAAAATCCAGGAGATTCCTTTTGTGTTTGACCTTCAGGCATTATATTTCTGTTTCTATTACAAAGAAATAAGAAATAATAAAAATGTTAAAAATATATTACTAAATATTGTAGACCAGTAAACAGTATCACGGAAATAAGAATTTGCACAGTAGAAAAAGGAAGAGAATAGTTCTTAAAGTGACAAACCTCTTGAGAAAAAGATAGTTTGAGGTAGATAACAATGTTAAAGTAGATCAGTTATGGAATAATAATGAATTCCAACTGAGAATATACTGTCTGGCTCTATTCTAGATATTTCCACTGTCATTAACTTACTTATTCCTCACAGTGAACCTATGAAATAAGTACTATTATTACCACCTCCATTTTACAAAAGAAAATTTTGAAGCATAGAAAGGTTAAATGACTTTCTCCAAGAAATGGAAGTGCCAGAGTTGGGATTTGAGTTCAGCAATCCAGATTCAAATTCCCAGCTCTGAAATTTCAGGCTATATGTCTCCAAGATCTTGAAAGACAATTACAAGATTTTAGTCTTGATGAGGAGTCAGCCATTACATATTCTTGCATAAGGAAGTTAAACTATAAAATGATTTGGGAACAATAATTAGAGAAGAGAGTGGTTAAATTAATTCTGGAGGCAGAGATGCCTGTATTTTTTTTTCTTCTGAACATCCATGTCTTGGCTTTAAGATTGTGCATATTGGCCTCTATGGCACTACAAGTAAACATGAAAATAGTTCCCATTTCCATGCACAGGTATTCAGCTATAACACCATCTAAAATTAGTATGAATGACCTGTATCCCTGAAACAAATATTATATGTTAAGAAAGAAGAGATATCAATAGCCAAAAATAGATAGAGAGATAAATAAAATTAGTATGGACAAAGAAAGTTTGCAATAGTTAATATTCATTTGATAACTACAAATAAATGAATATTAAATCAAGCAAGAAATAGGCTATGTTCAATATGTTCTAGGTGTCAGAGTATAATAATCAATGTTATTTAAAACTTAATTTCTTTTTTTCTTTAAAGGGACATCTCTTCTGTAGGTGGGTGCTCAAATGAAAACGGAGGAATGCTTTCTTTGACCATAGGAACAAAATTCAGACACAAGAGAGTGCTTATCTCCTCCTCTGAAAGAATACATTTGCTCATTATCTCTCTCTCCAGGCATCGCTTCCCATATTCTTAATGAAAATGCTTACAATTATCAACCCCAAAATTCTGTCTTCAAGTTATAAATTTAAAAAAAAAATAGTGGTTCATTATATTTAAAAAGTCAAATTCCAGCAACACTAATGCTAAAAATGACTTAAATTTCTTAGCATCCACGTAATATATTTCCATGAGTTTTCTATTATGTGCAGACTTATTTTCCTTAAGAAGTAAAACGAAGTTTGAATAATACAGTTTGTGGTGTGGTGACATCAGCAACTGCCAGTTCTTGCCCATCAACGAGTCCCAATTCTTTCAATGTCTTGGAGAGATTTGGCCTTGTTCGTTCTTCAATAGAGGTTACTGACTAAGTAAAGTGTTCTATTTTTTCCCTCTAAAGTGGCTGTGATGGCTGGAGATTTCATCTGTAGAAAAGCACTATTGGTTAAATAATCTAAAACCACCTGGAGTTTAGTGGAGAAGATTGGATATTTTAAGGAAGCTGGCTATATAAGCTGGGCAGTTTTCCTTTCTTTCTGCTTCAAATGTATATGTGTACAGTCCATCTACATCATTGAATACCAAGTATTAAGAGGAATATATGCACTTGTGGCTATTTTAAAAACCTCAGTGGCACACACATCTGAAATGACTATATTTGTAGAAGCTACTGCAGGAATGATTTGTTTTACTACTCCTTGAGTGAATCTCTAGGTAACACCCTTAATATTATATTGTCCTGCTCTCTTGACGGACTTTTGGAAAATCCACTGAATATGATCAAGATCATCTCCATCTAATGGAACTCCTTCTCTAAAAGCTGCTCCTTAGGCCACTACAGGATCCTTACAGACTCAATACAGTGTTCTGGGAGCCTGGGCATAGACTCAAAGGTGTACATGGGATCTGTGGAATCTGTGGAAGATACAGTTCTAGTGCACATTCAATACAAGCAGTAATTCCAGGCACAATCACCCAGGCATTTCCTTTAAAACCTTCTGTCCCTCCATCTATCAAAAGGACAATGGAGCTTAGATCTTATACACCATCTTCATAATTTAGAAGAGATAGCCGCATGCCATTTATCCATCTTCTGACCATGATAGAGTCCAGTCCACTTACAATTATATGATATTGTCGATAGAAAATGTCATTAAAATCCTGAAATCTTGCTGAAATATGGAACTACACTGCAATTAGGAACTCTGTCATTTAGAAATTCTGCAGCAATTTAGCCTTAGGTCTTCCAACATCTTAAGGCCTATATAAAAACTGCCTATTTAGATTAAAAACATCTATAGTGTCCATGTCTATAACATAAATCTGTCTAAAACCAGACAACGCCAGATTTTTCAGGAGCTCACATCCTAAGCTTCCAGTCCAATGACCAGAACTTGACATGTATCTAACAAAAACGAGAAATTCAGTGCTCAGTTCGAAATCAGAGTGTGTGAAGGGTCCAGATCACTCGAGGAACTTCTTTTTGGTTGCAGCGACCTTCCCAGTCTCTAGTGTCCCCACACCCAGAAACAGCCATTTTCTCAGCCAGCAGCTCCTCTATTCCTTGTCTCTGGCTCTTCACCATCCAGCATGTTCTCCTGAGCTGCCTACATTTGAATCTCAACTCTATCACTGACAAGTTGTATCACCTGGGAGTCTGTTTCCTCTTCTATAAAATAAGCATAATAATGTATTTACATCTCATAAAGTTGTGAATATTAAATGAGCAATACTTATAAAGGATTTAGACAGTTTATGCTTTTGACAGAACAAAAATCTGAAGATCCTTCTGTAACTGTCTCCATTGACCATCAATGAGTCACTTAACTTTACAGATCAGTTTTCTCATCCATAAGTGGAGGTTTATGGCAAACATATCCTTTTACAGTTCTCATATTTGATGATGAATTCCACTTTGAATATACTGTATGTGAATCAACAGCATGACTTGACTATATAAAACTGATTAGCAATTTAAAATACAGAAATAGAACATGGGTGAGAGAGTTCTGAAGTGGAATCAGTATTTTTTTTTTAATTTTATTTTTTATAAACATATATTTTTATCCCCAGGGGTACAGGTCTGTGAATCGCCAGGTTTACACACTTCACAGCACTCACCATAGCACATGCCCTCCCCAATGTCCATAATCCCACCCCCCCTCTCCCAACCCCCTCCCTCCATCAACCCTCAGTTTGTTTTGTGAGATTAAGAGTCACTTATGGTTTGTCTCCCTCCCAATCCCATCTTGTTTCATTTACTCTTCTCCTACCCCCTTAACCCTCCATGTTGCATCTCCTCTCCCTCATATCAGGGAGATCATATGATAGTTGTCTTTTTCCGATTGACTTATTTCCCTAAGCATGATACCCTCTAGTTCCATCCACGTCGTCGCAAATGGCAAGATTTAATTTCTTTTGATGGCTGCATAGTATTCCATTGTGTATATATACCACATCTTCTTTATCCATTCGTCTGTTGATGGACATCTAGGTTCTTTCCATAGTTTGCCTATTGCAGACATTGCTGCTATAAACATTCGGGTGCATGTGCCCCTTCGGATCACTACGTTTGTATCTTTAGGGTAAATACCCAGCAGTGCAATTGCTGGGTCATAGGATAGTTCTATTTTCAACATTTTGAGGAACCTTCATGCTGTTTTCCAGAGTGGTTGCACCAGCTTGCATTCCAACAGTGTAGGAGGGTTCCCCTTTCTCCGCATCCTCGCCAGCATCTGTCATTTCTTGACTTGTTAATTTTAGCCATTCTGACTGGTGTGAGGTGATATCTCATTGTGGTTTTGATTTGTATTTCCCTGATGCCGAGTGATGTGGAGCACTTTTTCATGTGTCTGTTGGCCATCTGGATGTCTTCTTTGCAGAAATGTCTGTTCATGTCCTCTGCCCATTTCTTGATTGGATTATTTGTTCTTTGGGTGTTGAGTTTGCTAAGTTCTTTATAGATTTTGGACACTAGCCCTTTATCTGATATGTCATTTGCAAATATCTTCACCCATTCTGTCAGTTGTCTTTTGGTTTTGTTAACTGTTTCCTTTGCTGTGCAAAAGCTTTTGATCTTGATGAAATCCCAATAGTTCATTTTTGCCCTTGCTTCCCTTGCCTTTGGCGATGTTCCTAGGAAGATGTTGCTGCGGCTGAGGTCGAAGAGGTTGCTGCCTGTGTTCTCCTCAAGGATTTTGATGGATTCCTTTGTCACATTGAGATCCTTCATCCATTTTGAGTCTATTTTCGTGTGTGGTGTAAGGAAATGATCCAATTTCATTTTTCTGCATGTGGCTGTCCAATTTTCCCAACACCGTTTATTGAAAAGGCTTTTTTTTCCATTGGACATTCTTTCCTGCTTTGTGAAGTGGAATCAGTATTTTAAAAGAATCTTTCATTTTGTAGTTTAAAAAGGGATTAAACTAAACAAAAAGGTTAAATGCAACCTTTTCTCTTAGCTGTAAACAACAAATCTGTGGTTACCCAAGTTAAATAATCATGTTAAGAGATATTACTGCCTACACCAAAATTACATAACAGATGGCAATTCTTGCTTTAGACACTACAACATAAGGAAAAATGACAGCTGGAACATTATTCAATGATGTCCACAATTTACCATACATGATAGTAACTTTTTAACTTGACATTTAATATTTTCCATATACTTTTTATCCTTTAGAAAATCTTAAATGTATACTATTGCACTGGATAAGTACTCATAATCTATATCCTCTTCAGCTGAATGCTGTAGGAAAAATGGGGAAGAGGTTCAATGAAACAAGAATGGCAGAATGTTAATAATTGTTTAAACAGGGCAATAAGTACATGGAGGTTCATTACACTAGTCTCTCTCCTTTGTGTATTTGAAATACTCCACAATAAAACCTTTTTAAAAGTTACAGGTACTAAACGTTTTACTATTCTTATCAATTATTTATAAAATATTGGCTCAACATAAATAGATTCTTTAATAATAGTTATTAATTGAAATCCTACATTTCAAAAGAGGGGGTTTTAGGGAATAATAATTTCTCCAAAGGTTCAGGTGTTTTCACAGCTTCAGGCGTTTTTAAAAATAAAGGAATTTCAGAGGTTTGTAGAAAGTTCTCAGCCCTTTCTTCTACTTCATCACTATTATTTTCTATTGGCTTCTCAAAATGTTCTGCACATATAACCTGCAAATTCAAAATAATAGAAAACTATAAAAATGAATGTTATTTTTTAAAAATATTATATTAACAAATTCACATGTAAAAATGTGTGAGGAAAAAACACCATATTAATCTATGATGTTATATGTCATAGACATAATAAGTAAAATAAGAATAATTGATGAAAGAGATACCAAAATATAATTGTGTGAAATATGGAAAAATAATTTTTAATTTTCTGATTTCTCTTTTCTTCCCAGCTCCACCTCCCTTACCTCTACCTAAAAAAGTAAATGATAGCCAGAACATACTCAAATTGATGATGAAAAATGGTTAAGGATGTTTTTTTAAAAATTCTACATCATGCACTGGCTCATGAATTGTATATGATATACAGGAAGGGAAAAGTGGTTTACTTCCAAGCAATCTTATTCTCATTCGTTGTGTTCTTTGCACATTTTGTCCTTATAAATTCATTACTTTCTCTGCAAAGGTTGAAAACGTGAATACTAATTTTCCCTTATATCATTTTGTGGGGTAGGGCTATGATTCCTCAAATATGTTTGCTATACTAAATCCTATTTCAGAAACAATTTGGGTCTCTCTACCAAAAAAATTTTAAATGTTCTTTTTACCTGCTCTTTTTTTTTTTTAGGTTTTATTTATTTGACAGGCAGAGATCACAAGTAGGCAGAGAGGCAGGCAGAGAGAGGGGGGGAAGCAGGCTACCCGCAGAGCAGAGAGCCCGATGTGGGGCTCGATGTGGGGCTCGATCCCAGGATCCTGGGATCATAACCTGAGCTGAAGGCAGAGGCTTAACCCACTGAGCCACACAGGCGCCCCTTTACCTGCTCTTCTTGAGCAGAATTCTACTGTGTCATTTGTCTTGCTTTAACCTTTAGCAGCTAACTTAGTAAAGTGAATAAACATTGTCTACGTCTATCATTAATGTTTTCCACTATTAAAAAATATTTTGGAAAATACTTTTGCGGCAACCACCAGTCTTGAACTGCCTTAGAAAGTCATTCAATTTTACCAAACTTGTTTTCTTCAGTTGTGATTTAGTTGTGATATAAATATATATATGTATACATACATATATTTATGATCAATTATTAACAACAACTCTGTGTATTTTCATATAAACTTTTTGTGGCTTCATTTTTTAAATCTAGAACTCCTCTAAGGAATAGAAGCTTTAACATCACAGGAACTTGATTACTAACCTAAAACACCTAGACCTCACATATATAATCTTCACTAATCTGAAATTAAAGTGGAAACAGCATTTTAAATTGGAATATTTTGCTTAGAAATCACAAATCAAATATTTGACTTACTTGTGAAGTACACTTTGCTTCTCTCAATTGTCTTACTGTCCCTTTATCTTCACTCTCAGCATCTGTTTGTTACAGGAGAACAAACTAGTTTTTCTTTTGGCAGTTTAATTGTAAAGAAAACATACAAACAGTAAGAATTGTGAATATTTAACTGTTTTTGACCTACAAAAATAGGTTTCATATAGTTTAACCCAATCCACACGGATAAGAGAATAAAACCCATGTGAACAGTTTAAAAGGAAATTATAGAGAATATCCATGTAACCATCACACAGGTAAAGAAACAGAACATCATACATACTTCAAATGTCCACATATTCTTCATATTGTCCTCCTCAGAGGTATTCACTATCCTGAATTTCCTTGATTTGCTTTCTATAGTTTTATCACCTAAGTAATTCAGTTATTTTTCCTGTTTTAAAATGTTATATGATAAAATGGTAATATGTGTTCTTTGTCTTGCTTTTTTTATTCAGCATATGCTCGTGAAATTCATCTGTATTGTTTCATATAGACATAATTTGCTTACTTGTATTGATTTAAGTATTCCATTGTACAAACAACATAATATATCCATCCGTTCTACTAGCAAACAGGCATTTGGGGTGTTTCTACTTTGAGACTATTACAAACAGTGATCTTTACATATATACTTGTATGTATGTACTTGTATTTCTCCAGGTATATACCTAGGAGGGGGATTACGAGGTAAAGAGTATGTATATCTTTCATTTTACCAAATTTTAAACTATTTTCCAGAGTTTATTTTCCAAACTATTTATCAATTTTTGTTGTGGTACCTAGCCATCCCAACTTACCTTAGGAACTCATTCAGTTTCACCAGACAAAACCATTAGCTTTAATTATAATTTATATATAGTCTCAATATACAGTCATTTATAAATGAGTTCCTCCAACAGTTATGAGAGTCCTTATTGTTCTATATTCTAATACTAACCACTGTCAGACTTTCTGAATCTGCTAATCTGTTGGATGTATAATAGCTCACTGTGGCTTTTTCAGTTTCCTAATTTGCTGAGCATCTTTTCATATGTTTATTTACCATATGAGTTGCTCTATTTCAAGTGCCTACTTGCATATTTTGCACATATTTCTAATTGGGTTGTCTGACTTATTCTTCTTGGTTTGTGGAAATTCTTTATATATTTTTGGAAACTGGTCCTTTGACAGTTTTATGTGTTAAAAATATATCCTCTTGTTTTCATTTCTTTTTTTTTTTTAAGATTATTTATTTGAGAGAGATAAAGAAAGAGAGCACAAGAGTAGGCAGAGTGGCAGGCAGAGGAAGAGCAAGAAGGAGACTCCCCACTAAGCAGGGAACCTAACATGGAACTTGATCCCAGGACTGAGATCATGACCTGAGCTGAAGGCAGACACTTAAACGACTGAGTCATTTGGGCTCCCCTTCCATTCTCTTTATGTCTTTTGATGAACAGAAATTCTTAAGTTTAGTATAGCCAAATTTATCAAATTCTCTTTTTTAAAAGATTTTACTTATTTATTTGACAGACAGAGATCACAAGTAGGCAGAGAGGGAGGCAGAGAGAGAGGGGGAAGCAGGCTCCCTGCTGAGCAAAGAGCCCGACGCAGGACTCGATCCCAGGACACTGGGATCATGACCTGAGCCAAAGGCAGAGGCTTTAACCCACTGAGCCACTCAGGCGCCCATCAAACTTTCTTTTGATTGGGCATTTTAATTCTTATTTAAGAAATTCTTTCCTACCTTGAATAGACCTTTTTCTATTTGATCATCTGAAAGCTTTTGTCTTTTGCAGTTAAGTCACAACTATTATTTTCATCACATTAACTTCCTCAAAAGACAGGCTTGGATATTGTTGAAGAGAGTCCTTTTTTCTTCTAAGATAATTACATGCCTTTTTGGGTATGAAGCCTTACTATATATGCTGAACAGCAGCTAGACTATGCCAGACATACGCATTTCCCCACATATCTGTATTAGGGGTGCATTGTTCCTAGAGATCAGCTTTCTTCTCTTGTCTAACACTCTGTCAGCTTAGCATACATAGAAAATTATAAACAGGTGGAACAAATCATCTGTGCAGTTAAGATATAATTCTTTCTTCCAGAAGACAGCATGAAGAAAACCCATCTACCTAGAATAAGCACATTATGTTGGCTGACTATTATATTGAGAGAGAGAAACAGATGCATAGTTTATTCTAAGGCCATTCTGAGTATACATATATTTACAGAATTTTTCTACTGCCAAAATGAGCCAGTTTTTTTTTTTTTTTTTTTTTTTTTTGACAGATAGAGATCGCAAATAGGCAGAGAGGCCGGCAGAGAGAGAGGAGGAAGCAGGCTCCCCGCTGAGCAGAGAGCCTGATGTGGGGCTCGATCCCAGAACCTGGGATCATGACCTGAGCAGAAGGCAGAGGCTTTAACCCACTGAGCCACCCAGGCGCTCCCCTGAGCCAGTTTTTTTAAAGTTTTTATTTGAACTCCAGTTAGTTAACACAGTGTAATATTAGTTTCGGATGTGCAATTTAGTGACTCAAAACTTAAAACACCTGGTGCTCATCACAAGTACACTCCTTAATTCTCACCACCTATTTAACCCACCTCCCAACCTCCTTCTCTTCTCATCCATCAGTTTGTTCTCTATAGTTAAGAGTCTGCTTTTTGGTTTGCCTCTTTTTCCCCTCCATGACTGTTTGTTCTGTTTCTTAAATTCCACATACAAGTGAAATGATATGGTATTTTTGTTTCTTTGATTTATTTCACTTAGCATAATACTCTCTAGGGCTCCATCCAGGTTGTTGCAAATGGCAAGATTTCATTCTTTTTTATGACTAATACTGCATTACGCACACACACCCACCCCACATCTTCATCCATTCATCAATCAATGGACATTTGAGCTCTTTCCATAATTTGGCTATTGTTGATACTGCTGCTACAACATCAGGGCACATGTGCCCCTTCAAATCAGTATTTTTGTATCCTTTGGGTAAATACCTAGTTAGTAATGCAATTGCTGGGTCACAGGATAGTTCTTTTTTTAACTTTTTAAGGAACCTTCACACTGTTTTCCACAGAGGCTACACCAGTTTGCATTCCTATCAACAGTGTAAGAAGGTTTCCCTTTCTCCACATCTTCACCAAAACCTGTTGTTCCCTGTATTGTTAATTTTAGCCATTCTGACAGGTGTGAGATGATATCTTGTTGTACTTTTATTTGTATTTCCCTGATGATGAGTGATGTTGAGCATCTTTTCATGTGCCTGTATGTCTTCTTTGGAAAAATGTCTATTCATGTCTTCTATTTTTTAACTGGATTATTTGCTTTGGGGATTTTGAGTCTTATGAGTTCTTTACATATTTTATATATTAACCCTTTATCAGATATGTCAGTTGCAAATAACTTCTCTCACTGCATAGGTTGCCTTTCAGTTTTGTTGACTGTTCCCTTGGCTGTGCAGAAAATTTATTTTGATGAAATCCCAACAGTTTATTTTTGCTTTTATTTCCCGTACCTCAAGAGGTGTATCTAGTAAGAAGATGCTATGGCCGATGTCAAAGAGGTTACTGCCTGTGTTTTCCTCTAGGACTTTATTGGTTTCCTGTCTTACATTTAGGTCTTTCATCAATTTTGAATTTATTTTTATGTATGGTGTAAGAAAATAGTCCAATTTCATTCTTTTGCATATGGTTGTCCAGTATTCTCAACATCATTTCTTGAACAGACTGTTTCCTTTCCATTGAATGGTCTTTCCTACCTTGTCAAAGATTAATTGACCATATAGTTGTGGGTCTATTTCTAGATTTCCTGTGCTGTTCCATTGATCTATGTGTCTGTTTTTGTGCCAGTGCCATACCATCTTTATCATTACAGCTTTGTAATATAACTTACATCAGGAATTGTGATGACTCCAGCTTTGCTTTTTAAGGTTGCTTTGGCTATTCAGGCTCTTTGTGGTTCCATAAAAATTTCTGATTGTTTATTCTAACTCTGTGAAAAATGATAGTAGTATTTTGATAGGGATTGCATCGTATGTGTAGATTACTTTGGGTAACACAGATATTTTAACAGTATTTGTTCTTCTAATACATGAGCATGGAATGTTTCTCCATTTCTTTGTGTCATCTTCAATTTCTTTTATCAGTGTTTTATAAGTTTCAGAGTATGGGTCTTTCATCTCTTTGGTTAGGTTTATTCCTGGGTATCTCATGGTTTTTGATGCAATTGTAAATGGGATTTATTCCTTAATGTCTTTCTGCTGCTTTATTATTGGCATATAGAAATGAAATAGATTTCTGTATATTGACTTTGTATCTTGAAACTTTACTGAATTCATGTTACCGGTTCTAGCAGTTTTTGGTGAAGTATTTCAGGTTTTCTCTATATAGTATCATATCATCTACAAATAGATTAAGTTTTACTTCTTCCCTGCTGATTTGCCTGCCTTTTATTTCTTTTTGTTGTCTGATTGCTGTGGCAAGGATTTGCAGTATTATGTTGGATAAAAGTGGTAAGAGTGAACATCCTTATCTTGTTCCTGATCATAAAGGAAAAGATCTCAGTTTTTCCCCACCAAGGAGGATTTCGATCATGGGTTTTTTGTATATGGACTTTATTCTGTTGAGGAATGCTCCCTCTAAACCTACTTTATTGAGGGTTTTTATCATGAATGGATGTTGTACTTTGTCAAATGCTTTTTCTCCATCTACTGAAAGGATCATATGATTCTTATCCTTTCTTTTATTAATGTGATGTGTCATGTTGATTGATTTGTGAATACTGAACCAACCTTGCAACTCAGGAATAAATCCCACTTGATAGTGGTGAGCAGTTCTTTCAATGTACTGCTGGATTTGGTTTGTTCGTATTTTGTTGAGAATTTTTGCATCCGTGTTCATTAGGGATATTGGCCTGTAGGTTTTGTTGTTGTTGTTGTTGTTTTAGTCTTTATCTGGTTTTGGCATCAGGGTAATGCTGGCCTCATAAAATAAATGTGGAAGTTCTCCTTCCTTTTCTATTTTTGGGATAGTTTGAGAAGAATAGGTATTAACTCTTCTTTAAATGTTTGGTAAAATTTGCCTGTGAAGCCATCTGGCCCTGGATTTTGTTTGTTGGGAGATTTTTTATTACTGATTCAATAAAATGAGACAATTTTAAAACTGCAAAATAAAAGGCTATAATCCACATCATAAAGACAAGAAAAAGTGAAGACTTTTATATAGCCTAATATATATATAGTGGAATAACTGTTACTCATTATTGGATTACTAATATGTATGTATATGTACATATGAGATGTCTTATATTACACACTGTATTATATACATTATGTATACACATGTACATATACAAATAAATACATATTTATATACACACATAGTTTTTTCAAGAGTATGATGCCCTTAAAATCTTCCAACAGCTAGTTGATCTAAGAAAATAAATTCATATATATATCTCCAGTAACATTTCTATGCTTTTATTCAAAGAAAATAATCCAAACAGTAAAAGATTTATGTAAAAGAATATAGTAGCTTAACCTAGAAACAATAAGATATTTAATATTTTGAAGAAGAATGGCTAAATAATTAAAATAATTCAAAATTTTGAGATAATGGCTAAATGAATTATAGCATATCCTTCCATGGCATAAGATAGTCATTAAAAATAAAATCTATTTAATGGCATAGAAAAATATCCTGAACAGTATATCAAATGGAAAGAAAAGGTTACAAAATGATATATAGTATGTTTCAAATTTGGGAGAGAAAGTAAAAGAACACACATATACATAGGAAAGTAGGACAAGAACATATACCAGTATGGATGGTGCCAGTTATACCTGGGTGATGGTATCTTTGTTTCTTTTGTATTTTTCCCTGTTTTCCAAATCTTTTACAATGAAATGATATATTTTATACTGAGTGAAAAATGTTTTTAAAAACCAGGCATGCACAGTCAGTTAATCAAAGATGTGAACAATCCAAATAATATATTTGAATAGTATAAAAACTGGACATAATTTGTTACTCCCATTTCTTAGGAAAAAATATAAACAGCAAATACCTGTATCTCCTTTTTCAAACCACTGAGTGCAATTTGATTGTTTCTGTGGGGTTAACAATCTAAAATACAATAAATAAAATTTTTATATTATTTGTTGAACTGATAAATTTCAGAATTAAAACATTTTCCTATTTTAAAAGTTACCTGAAATGCATCATATTTTGAGAATTTTTAATAGCCACAGAATTTGAGCATTTTGAATGGTCATTCAGAGTAAAGTCATTAAGTACCTGAACAAAAGAAATTAAGTATTAGAACCAGCTGCACAGACAATAAAAATTTTTTGCTTGCCATGGCTACTGAAGGTTCTCCAAGAACATTGTCATTCTCCTCCTCATCATCATAAATATGAACAACTATAAACATTAACTGAAACCACTATATACAAAATATTCAAATGCTAGGAAACTTTAAGACTCATAAGGAATTTAGTATTTTGGACAAGTATAATAACTATGCTTTGTAGTATTTCTACATTTAAGGTAAACTTACAATTTTTTATCCCATATTTATGACTATTCAAGTCAATCTTAACCATTTTCTCAAATGATTTGTATCTAAGAACCTCTTAAACTGAACATTAAAAAGCAAAACACATTAAAAGATTAAAACCTGAGATTTTGTTTTTTATGTATGTATGAACAAGGTAATATTTCATTTTTAACTTTAGATTTTATTTAATATCAATATCTAAGCCACTGCTTTACTAATGTTTGTATTGTCTGTTTCAAGTCATTCTCTGTGAGTCACTCATTTTGAAGAGTTCCTGATTTTTCTTATTCAACTCAACATAAAAATATCTTTAGTAGGAAAAATCCCATTTATTTTAATTATAACAGCCATTGGTCTGAATTCTGTGATCTTATTGTGCTTTTAGATCATAAAAGACCTTGCCCCTTAAAGAACATTTGTCCCTTAAAGAATAAGTGTTGTTACTGTTTCGATGTATTAAACAATATACATTTTGTATGGGCTCCCTGTAAAAGTATTTGTACAAGTTAAGTAGTTGTTTATAGTAGATGCTAAGAACTAAAATTGCTGAATATTTACATTTTTATTTTTAATAAGTATTATGAACCAGTCCTCCAAAGTAATTACACCAAATTACATTCCCACTATTGGTGACTTTACCAGATATTATCAAATGTAGTGTATGCAAATCTGATAGGGGAAACCAGGTACCTCATTGGTTTAATATGCATTTCCCTATACCCCAAAATTCAAGCATCTTGTTTTGTGACACTTTTTCTGTAAACTGTTTTATCTTTTGCCTATCTTAAAAATTAATTTGTATTATGTATTTATGTATTATACATTCTGCATACCACTTTCCTATCTATTCTGTCTTTCTCTATAACTTGTTGGTGTCTTTTGTCATAGCAAAGTTTTTTGTTTTGATGTAGTCCACTGATCAATTTGTCTTTTCTTACACCACACTGTTATAATCATTGGATTTTGATATTTTAAAATGTTCTGGGATAGGGTGCCTGGGTGGCTCAGTCGATTAAGTGGCCAGCCAACTCTTGATTTTGGCTCAGGTCATCATCTCAGGGCTGTGTGACTGAGTCTCACATTGTGCTCTGCACTGGGTATGGCGCCCGCTTATGATTCTTTCTCTCCTCCCTCTGCCCCTGCTCACTTGCTCTCTCTCCCACCCTAAAAAAAAAAAAAAAAAAGTCCTTGGATTATGTAAATATTCTGGAATTAAGACTGTGGTGATGGTTACACTACCTTTAGAATATGCTAAAAACTGGGGCACCTAGGAGGCTCAGTTGGTTAAGCCTCTGCCTTCCGCCCAGGTCATGATCCAGGGTCCTGGTTCGAGGCCCACATCAGGCTCTCTGCTCAGTGGGGAGCCTGCCTCTCCCTCTCTCTGCTTGCCTCTCTGCCTACTTGTGATTTCTCTATCAAATAAATGGATAAAATCTTAAGAAAAAAGAATACACTAAAAACCACTGAAATGCACATTTTAAAATGAATTTTATGATAAACATTTTGGTATCTAAGAGTATAAGTTTCTCTCACATTGTTTAAAAAGATCTTTTATTTTAAATCTTTAAAATTATTAATCTGTTGATAAAGTGTCAATATGATTGACAAACTTTTCTAATGCTATCATTATAATTCTTGGGAAAACCAAGTTTTAGTCATAATACATTTTTTTTTAATGTTACAGTGCCAAACTAGGTTTCCAAATAATTTATTTGGATTTCTACATGTATATTCATTCTTGAGATGAATGTATAATTTTTTCTTTCACTATCTTTGTCCTTGCTACCTAATGAATAGCCATGCATAATTTATTGGCTAGTTTCCAACTTCTTCTATTCTCTAGAATTACTTATTAATAATAAATAATAAAATGATTGCTCTCAACTGGCAATTTTTCCTCTCAGGGAGCATCTGACAATGTCTGGAGACCATTTTCTATTGTCTTTTCTTTGGTGTGGGTGCTATTTGCCCCTAGAAGTTCACAAGATGACCCTACAAAAAAGGATTATCTCGCCTAAAATGTCAATAATGTCAGAGTTTAGAAATTCTGATTTAGTCCTTAAAGGTTTGGTAGAATTCACAGGAAAAACTGATTCTGGTATGTTTTGAAAGGTGTGTGTGTGTGTGTGTGTGTATGTGTGAGGGAGAAGGGAGGCAAGTAGGGAAGGAAAGAGCAAAACAGAGATTTGCTTACATTTCCGTTTCACTTACATTTCCAGTTCTTCTAGTTTATGGTTCTATTCATGTCTTTCTTTTTCAGTCTACTTAACAATTTATATTGTCCTAGAAAATTAACCCCCTCACGTAATTTTTCAAATTTATTGTTATAAAGTCTTGCATAGTATTCTCTTAGGGCCTTGAAAACATTTCTTCCCTATGTACAAGGATATGCACTTTCCCCCCCTTATTATTCTTCCTTTTGGGAGGTGAGGCTTCTCTTTTTTTATACTTGCCGCAATTTTATTTTATTGCTATTTAAAAGTTATTAACTTCTGGCTATACTGATTAACCCAACTTTCTAATTTCATTAATTTCTGCTTTTCTCTTTATTAATTCCTACTTTCTTTGGATTGTTATTTTCCTGTTTTGAGTTGAGCTTTTTTCACACTTTGAATTGAGCTGTTCACACTTAGAGTTCAGCTAACTTTAATCTTTATTTTCTAATATAGTTGTTTTCAAATAGAAGTTTTGGAGGACCAATTAGGATAGATTCCATAGGTTTTGGTTTATAGTATTCTAAATAGTTTTATCTTGATTTCTTCTTTAACCCCCAAATAATTGAAAGTGTATGAATTTCTTTTTCCTCTGCTAAATACTTTTTTGAGGAGGATTTATCTTTTTGTTGAACTTCTCTTTTTTTTATATAGCGGTAAGTAAAGAGAACAACTTTTTAAAACTGGTTGAAATATCCTCTTAGTTGTAGTAAATGGTCAATTTTGGTGAATACTGCAATATCAGGAAAAGAAAGCATAGATGAATCTGAGAAATGACACTGTAGAAATGGTGCTATGAGCCCTGGTAAGTGACCCTGAGTCACTTTGAATTTCATGGCAGGTCAGAGAAAAATAAATATTCATCTTGTTTAAGATGCTGTTATTTCATTCATTTGGTTTTGTATTGTTACAATGTACCCAAACTCAACACCTAAACTCAAGATAGTACTTTTTTTGAGAGAGCTATCCTTTTTAAACTGTGGATTCAATACTTTCTTGGAATTCTATCAATTTTTACTTTACATATGGTGCATCACGGTTCTTAGAACTTGGTGAGTTACTTTTTTTCAAAAATATGAAATATAGTTATCCCTATTAATGATTGTTGTCTTGAACTCTATTTTATATAACATTGTTACATCTGCTTTTTGTTTGCATTTGTCTGATATATATTTCCCATTTCCTTCTACCTTCACTCTTCATTTGTCAAATTGTTTCAGCTCTTCTGTTTTAAAAGTATATGGCTGTTCCACTCTGGAAAACAGTATGGAGGTTCCTCAAAAAGTTATATATAGAACTACCTTACGATCCAGTAATTGCAGTACTAGGTATTACCCAAAGAATACAAAAATACTAATTCAAAGGGATATATGCACCTCTCTGTTTACAGCAGCATTACCAATAATATCAAATGGAAAGAGTCCAAATGTCCACTGACTAATGAATAAAGGAGATATTCACATATACACACCACACACACACACACACACACACACACACACAAATGGGAGTATTACTCAGCTGTAAGAAAGAATGAAATACTGCTATTTGCAACGATGTGGATGGAGCTAGAGAGTATTAGCTAAGTGAAATAGTCAGAGAAAGACAAATACCATATGATTTCACTCATATGTGGAATTTAAGATACAAAACAAATGAACACTGGAGGGAAAGAGAAAGGGGCAAACCATAAAAGAGACTTTTTTACAATTTTACAATTACAGAGAACAAACTGAGGATTACTAGAGGGGAGGTGGGCAGGGGAATGGGTTAAATGAGCAACAGATATTACAAAGGGCTCTTACTGTGATGAGCTCTGGGTATTGTGTATAAGTGATGAATCACTATATTGTATACCTGAAAGGAACTGGAATTTTAAAACTTGGAAGAGGAAAAAAAAAGTATATGTCTGTATTTGTATATATATTCCACAGAATATATGTCAATTGCTGATTACTGATTTGTTTGAAACTATTTATGGCATATTATTTTCTATTTACAATGCATTCTAGCTATTTTATCCACCCTTCCCTTCTTGCCTTTTGTTGAACTGATTAAGTTTTCTTTGTCTCATCCTTTTTTTCCCTACTATTCTAAATTTTACACACGGCATTTCATTTATGTTGTATATCCTTACGTGTTCAATATACATGCATGAATTCACACTTTCTGTTTTCCAACAATATATAAGTAAATCAGTATTGTTTCTTCTCTACCTCTATCCCCAAACAAAAAAAAGAACTTGGGTAAATTTTTGTTTCCCTCATTTATCTTCCCACCTTCATCCCATATTGATCTAATCTGAAATTTTAGTTCCAGATTTATAAGTTTTTATAATTAATACATATTTAGAATTAATAAGTTTCATTAATTACTTTGGTCACCACTACACCTCTGTTTGTATATATTAATCATGAATTAATGAAAGCAATCATATTTTTCATTGAGAATTTCCCTATGGACTATTTTCAGGAAAAACGGGGGAGGATGGAGATGTGCCACATCAAAAGCCAGCTTTCTGGGTGGTATGTTCCCTGTTTTTCATAAGCATCATGAACTCCCTACAGTACCACCTATCTCTCTAACCCAAACTCTTACACTTACTGCTTCCACCTGGAGACAGTCATCCCATTGCTGATGACTGCCCAAAGGCAAAGGGATTATGAGATGAACAGGTGTTAACTAACTCCCACTGAAGTAACCCAACCAATTACCCTACTCATTATCTCCACACCTATTCCTTCTGCAAGAGTATTCTATGCAAGTCATGGGCCACAATTTCCCTCTTCAATCCAATTCTGTTTTCCTTCTTCAGAAATATGTTTTTGGTCTACTAGGTACGGGGCTTGGTTTTTTTGTTTGTTGTTTTAGAGAGAGAGAGTGTAAGTGTGCATGCAAGCATCGGGGAGGGGCAGAGGGAGAAAGAGAGAGAATCTTAAGCAGGTTCCATGTCCAGCGTGGAGCCCAATGCAGGGCTCAATCTCACATACCTGAGATCATGACCTGAACCAAAATCAAAAGTCAGACACCTAACTCACTGAGCCACCCAGGTGCCCCAGGGATTGGTACTTTTAAATATCTTTTCTATTTTTAAGAGTGAGAAGGCTAGCGTGCATGGGTGGCTCAGTCATTGAGCCTCTGCCTTCAGCTTGGGTCATGATCCCAGGGTCCTGGGATCAAACCCCGCATCTGGCTCCCTGCTCAGCAAGAAGCCTGTTTCTTCCTCTCCCACTCCCCCTGCTTGTGTTCCCTCTCTTTCTGTGTCTCCCTCTGTCAAATAAATAAGTAAAATCTTAAAAAAAAAAAAACAAAACAAAACAATAAGGCTATGCAGTGAATATTCAGGCTGACATTCTGAAATTGTTTTAAGATTTTTAGACCTTGAGTTATAGTAATGACTGAGTTAATATATTTATAACACATATATACACATACACACAGACCCATGTTCCAAATGCAGTACATTCACGGTTTCATTTAATGCAAGCAAATATTTAATTTATACTATTAAAAAAGAAATGCCTACCTGCACATTGTTTTCTTTCTGTCTAAAGTCAATATTGGCAAGCTTTGCCTGCTTCACAGAACTTTCTTCTTTTTTATCTAGGTTATTAAATTGTACAACTTCAAATGAATTCCAGAGATAGAATAAAAAATTATGCCCAACATTCAACCTAAGCTTGTAATTTAAAAAATCAAGTTACATGAATATTTAACTTAAAATATAGAAATGTGAAATTTCTACATAAGTTTTAATTCCATACTATATAACAGTTATTTCAATAAGCATGAATGTAAAATGAAAACCAGCTTACAAAATTACATCTTTATAATGAGGAACCAAAGACGACTAGAAGAAAAAGAACAGCTAATGGGGTTAAACTGATACAATGTAGTTAATGTAATCTGCAAATCCACCAAATGAAACATGATTCAAATATCTTAGGAGACTAAGTTACAAATATCATTAACACAAGTCGGCTATCCACTTTAATTATACATTCTCATAACTTCTCAAATGAAAAATTTCTTATTATTCATCCTCCTCTGACAGCTGTGCAAGCAGACCAGAGCACTTCTTTTAATACCTTGTGATTTCTCTCTCAAAGAAAAAAAATTAGGCATATCTTGTTTGCTCTCAAAAAGAATCAAAGTGGTACTTTCTTGAGTCTACTGCTCTCTAGTATTGTCTGTTCTTGCTTACAACTAATGATAGCAAAATTTGCTTCTATTTCTTCTATGTGCTTGCAAAGAAAACTAAGTTTTTAAATAATTAAGATACTGTACCTATAACTCTTGGTTCTGAAGAATGCATCTTCATTAGTCTGAATAATTTCTGAGATTCATACGGAAGAAATAATTGACTGTTTTGAGGGGTTTTATTCAATATAAGTGCAGGTTGTTCATCTTTTTCAAAAATTCTGAAGAATGAATTACATTAAATATTTAGTAAGTAAAAATGCATTTTAAATGTATTTTAAAGCTAGAAGAGATATTTATATACTACACAGTTTAAACTCATTTTGCATACACTAAAACTGAGTTCCAGAAAATTTGATAGATCTGCCCAATATTATTAAATTATTTACAGGTGTCACAGCTAAAATACACTTTTCCTGATTAAGTCTAGTACCCTTCTTAGCATACCACACTTTAATTTTTAAAACAATAATTTTAAAAGAATTTCTAAGTATATCAAAGGCATTTAAAACCAAAACTTTATCCACAAATAGCATGCTGTATATTTCAAAGTACTCTAAAACTTTAAAAATAATCATTCAGGATCAAACCAGCTAGTATACTAGAATCCAGAAATCAGTAAAGCAATTTATAATCATAAATACATCTTTTAAGTTTTTTACTGGAAGAAATAAAACTCATTGAATTTTTCCTAAATTAGAGAAATAATTTTAGTTATTGATAATTAAATACTTTAAGTAATGATGTTATTTATAATAACTATCAAAATAGAAATTGGATGAAAATGACTAAGCAGTTATGTAAGTTCCTCTCAATATAGAGGATTTTTACAGTATTAAAAAGTTGCCAATGAAGTGAAATTCTAATCAATTTCTTCATAGAATTAAAGACAGATTATTATGGTTACGAGAAGAGTGAGGGGGGAATCAAGGAAATAATAAATCCAAGGAAGTGGGGTCTGAGAAATTAACTGGGGAGAGGAATGTGTTGAAAAATCAGGACAATAGCAATGGAACTTAATGAGATGAATTTAGAAGAATTTAAAAGGCTACAGGCAGAAGGAGAAAAAGTAGAAATTTTACCAGAAACAGCAACTATAATACACCTATTTTTCTGTCACACAATAACAGACAAAATCAATCCTTTTTTTTTTTTTAATGCCTCCACCACTGAAGTCTATTTATCACCATTAGGTTGAAAGACAAGGAAGCATAGGATGCCATAGATTCAGCAGCATTTTAATTCATCTTCAGTCTCTGGGGCAAAACAAGAATTGGTCAAACTGGTGACAGGGGTGATAAAAAGGTAAATACAATGCTATTTCCATAACTGGTCCTCTGTTTTACTCCTATTGGTGACCCATTATCAAAATCTGGGTGAAATGTGTAATGACAGGTTATAAAACAGCAAATGTGCTACTGCTACCTTATTTCTCTCTATACATTATCCTTGGCCTTACTAAATAATAAGCATACTTGAATGTTAATCTATAATATTTAAGGGTAAAATCAATATTTCTCAAGAAATAAGTGGAAAATAGCCTGCACAAAAGTATATATAAATATACACGTAAATATGTGAATACTAGTGGTTTGGGATAGAATATAAAATATAGAATCAAATGTTTAGATGCAGAATAACTGCTCATATAAAAATCCCATCTTAAAGTTTACCTAGCGGTGCCTAGGTGGCTCAGTCAGCTGACCATCCAACTTTTGATCTTGGCTCAGGTCATGATCTCAGGGTCGTGAGATTGAGCCATGGGTTCGGCTCCACGCTCAGCATGGAGTCTGCTTGAGATTCTCTCCTTCTCCCTCTGTCCCTCTCCCTGCTTGTGCATGCTCTCCAAATAAATAAATAATAAAATCTTTATAAAAAATAAAGTTTACCTATCCTTTTCTTTCAATTCCTTTATCTTTTCTATATTTTTATTTTTTTCTTCCAGAGTTTCTCCAAGATTCTTAGTTTCATGGAGTCTTGCAATCTGCTAAAAAGAAAAATGGCAAAGCAAAACAAAGTAATTATCTACAAAACATTAAGGAACATATGCTTCATCTTAACTAATGAATATGATTTTTTCTATATAATCACAGGATTTATGTTTTTGTGGCATTAGCTATCTTTTTTTAAAAATTTTTTTCATTTTTATTATTTTTTATTTTTTTATAAACATATAATGTATTTTTATCCCCAGGGGTACAGGTCTGTGAATTGCCAGGTTTACACACTTCACAGCACTCACCATAGCACATACCCTCCCCAATGTCCATAACCCCACCACCCTCTCCCGACCCCCCTCCCCCCAGCAGCCCTCAGTTTGTTTTGTGATATTAGGAGTCCCTTATAGTTTGTCTCCCTCCTGATCCCATCTTGTTTCATTTATTCTTCTCCTACCCCCCTAACCCCCCACGTTGCATCTCCACTTCCTCATATCAGGGAGATCATATGATAGTTGTCTTTCTCCATTGACTTATTTCACTAAGCATGATACCCACTAGTTCCATCCACGTCATCGCAAATGGCAAGATTTAATTTCTTTTGATGGCTGCATAGTATCCCATTGTATATATATACCACATCTTCTTTATCCATTCATCTGTTGATTCTTTCCATAGTTTGGCTATTGTAGACATTGCTGCTATAAACATTCGGGTGCACGTGCCCCTTCGGATCACTACGTTTGTATCTTTAGGGTAAATACCCAGTAGTGTGATTGTTGGGTCATAGGGTAGCTCTATTTTCAACTTTTTGAGGGAACTCCATGCTGTTTTCCAGAGTGGCTGCACCAGCTTGCATTCCTACCAACAGTGTAGGAGGGTTCCCCTTTCTCCACATCCTCGCCAGTATCTGTCATTTCCTGACTTGTTAATTTTAGCCATTCTGACTGGTGTGAGGTGGTATCTCATTGTGGTTTTGATTTGTATTTCCCTGATGCCGAGTGATGTGGAGCACTTTTTCATGTGTCTGTTGGCCATCTGGATGTCTTCTTTGCAGAAATGTCTGTTCATGTCTTCTACCCATTTCTTGATTGGATTATTTGCTCTTTGGGTGTTGAGTTTGCTAAGTTCTTTATAGATTTTGGACACTAGCCCTTTATCTGATATCTCACTTGCAAAATATCTTCTCCCATTCTGTCAGTTGACTTTTGGTTTTGTTAACTGTTTCCTTTGCTGTGCAAAAGCTTTTGATCTTGATGAAATCCCAATAGTTCATTTTTGCCCTTGCTTCCCTTGCCTTTGGCCATGTTCCTAGGAAGACGTTGTTGCAGCTGAGGTCGAAGAGGTTGTTGCCTGTGTTCTCCTCAAGGATTTTGATGGATTCTTTTCTCACATTGAGGTCCTTCATCCATTTTGAGTCTATTTTCGTGTGTGGTGTAAGGAAATGGTCCAATTTCATTTTTCTGCATGTGGCCATCCAATTTTCCCAACACCATTTATTGAAGAGGCTGTCTTTTTTCCATTGGACATTCTTTCCTGCTTTGTCGAAGATTAGTTGACCATAGAGTTGAGGGTCTATTTCTGGGCTCTGTATTCTGTTCCATTGATCTATGTGTCTGTTTTTGTGCCAGTACCACGCTGTCTTGATGATGAGCTTGAAGTCCGGAACTGTGATGCCACCAACTTTGGCTTTCTTTTTCAATATTCCTTTGGCTATTCGAGCTCTTTTCTGGTTCCATATAAATTTTAGGATTATTTGTTCCATTTCTTTGAAAAAAATGGGTGGGATTTTGATAGGGATTGCATTCAATGTGTAGATTGCTTTAGGTAGCAAAGACATTTTCACAATATTTGTTCTTCCAATCCAGGAGCATGGAACATTTTTCCATTTCTTTGTGTCTTCCTCAATTTCTTTCATGAGTACTTTATAATTTTCTGAGTATAGATTCTTAGCCTCTTTGGTTAGGTTTATTCCTAGGTATCTATAGTTTTGGGTGCAATTATAAATGGGATTGACTCCTTAATTTCTCTTTCTTCTGTCTTGTTGTTGGTGTAGAGAAATGCAACTGATTTCTGTGCACTGATTTTATATCCTGACACTTTACTGAATTCCTGTACAAGTTCTAGCAGTGTTGGAGTGGAGTCTTTTGGGTTTTCCACATATAGTATCATATCATCTGCGAAGAGTGATAGTTTGACTTCTTCTTTGCTGATTTGGATGCCTTTAATTTCCTTTTGTTGTCTGATTGCTGAGGCTAGGACTTCTAGTACTATGTTGAATAGCAGTGGTGATAATGGACATCCCTGCCATGTTCCTGACCTGAGCGGAAAAGCTTTCAGTTTTTCTCCATTGAGAATGGTATTTGCGGTGGGTTTTTCATAGATGGCTTTGATAATATGCATTAGCTATCTTTTAATGAAAGTTGTTAAAACAAGGTCAAAATTAGAAATAATTCATACTCCTTTAACTTTTCCTTACAAATCTATTAACAAACCTAGATTCAGTGAACTTCCATCTTCTTTTTTAAAAAGGTCAGAAGCAAAGTAGGTATCATTTTCCTATATATAGACACAGTTACCCTATATTTTGAAGGAAGTAGCATCTATTTTGTTCTTATTATTAAAATGATTTTACATTATTTGGAAACTTATACCTATGAATGGTAAATGTATCTTCTTTAACACAATTTACAAAAAGTCCATAAAATCAGGTGTTCAATTTTTTTCTCAGAATTTGGAAATGACTTGGATGGGTTCTCCAACAGTCAATGAAAACCATTTTGGTAGAGGACAATAAAAATGTATTTGAGAAAAATATCATGCACCATCAATCTTAAGGGCTAAACTAGTTCTGGCTTAGTTCTATAAAGATTAAAACCATAAATTTTCTAAATTAAATTCTTTAAACAATTTACTGTCTTGTTCTCTTTTTTGACAACACTGTTGTAACCCTTTTAGTGCCTTTAAATTCCTGTTATTAAGCTGTGTCTTGTTTTTAATTAATCTTTTCTCAACTGCCAAAGAAAATTAAACTATTCCGTAAAACTCGTAACTAAATATGCTCCGTACCTAAAACACATATTGGCTCCAAAGGTAATCTGAGGTAAATAGATTTTCCTAAGTCTTTCTCTATATTTAGGCTCTTTAGAAATAGCACTTCTAAGATTGTCAACTAACATAGCATTATACTTATACATTAATACATATATTAGAAACATATTACAAAATATATACCTGGTTAAAATAATTAATTTCTATTTCCACTTCATCTACTTCTTTCTTCAATTCAGATGAACTTTTGGAATAATCGCTGGCATGTTTAAGAATATCTTGTGTCTTACATCTCATGTTAGCCCTTTTATGTTAAGGAACTATGTTATGCAAGTAAATTTTACATTTATAATATATGTACCATATCAGAAATTGTTAATACTATGTAACATTATTTATATATGTTCCATAATGGCAATAAGCAATTAATAACAGTATCTGAAAATAGAGGCAAAACTAATATAATCATTTGGCAAACTGACGAAGATAACTTATTGCTTACCTATGTTATATATTGAGCTTAAAAACTCTTCCTGAAAAATATTTGTTAGAATTTTTTCTTTTACTTAAATATTTCACACGGTGGTTGTTTTGCTTTTATTTTTTTTACCCAAGTTCATCATGTCTTCAGGCATGACTAATAATACATAATCAATTCAGGTCCAAATTTAACTTCTTGTGTTTCCATTGTTTATTTATTCCAAAGTCGACATTTAAAAATCCAACTGGGGCACCCGGGTGGCTCAGTCAGTTGGGTGTCTGACTGTTGATTTTGGCTCAGGTCATGGTCCAAGGGCCATGGGATCAAGCCCCACAGTGTGGCTCTGAGCTCAGCAGAGTGTCTGCTTAGGATTCCCTCTCCCTTTACCCCTCCCCTCTCAAGAATAAATAACTCTTTTTAAAATATTAATTAATTGATTGATTAATTAAATAAAAATCCATCCAATTTCCCTTTTCTTACTCTGTAAGTTTCATCAGTGTAGCTGCCGGACTCAAAAGACAGCTAGATCTTCCATCTGGGCTTCATGCTTAAACTAGATTTATGCCCAATTTCAAGAATTTCTCAGCTGTTAACAGACATCCTGCATAGTTATTAACTATTACAATTTCCTAAATTACTCCACAAATCATTTAGGAGAACTTAAAAATTAACAGAATAGTGGTAGTGAACAAGAACCCTAGAGAAAATCTGTCGAGTTAAGGCAGAGTAAAAAATACTCTGCCTTAAAATATATAACATGTATGCTAGAACAAAAAATTTCAGATGAATATTACTTATAATGCTGTATTGTCATAAAAAGTATCAATTAAAATTTTTAGATACAGGTATTTAAATCCTAACCTTCAGTTTTCCCTATCTCCATCACCTCTTCTTGTTTCTCACATAATCTTATTTCTCATCTCTTCCTACATCAAACTTCCTAAACTTCTGCTATGCCTCGTGCATCAACCAACCTTTGCCTCTTCCCATTGAGAAGTTACAACACAGGTAAGCAGCAAATAAACAACTAAAAACAGTATAAGCTAAAATCTAAACATGAAGAGAGCAAGCAACAAAGGAGTTAAAAGGATGATTTAGAATGAAGCAGAATGAAGCAAGGTAGAATGCAGGGATAAAGAAGACTTAGTACAAGCAGTGGAGTTATAATCTGATAGGAAAGCACAGGAAGGACTGTAGAGGTTGGAAGAGGATTAAAGTTCTAAGTTCATCATCAGGGAAGATGTCCTGGACAAACAGATGAGACTAGGACCAATTAATAATTACTTAATCATCTAATAAAATGCCACTGTATTAGAATTATTTATTTATGTGTCTGTCTTCCCTACTAAACTGTGAGCTCCTTACAAAAAGCTCTGTAACTTCTCAAGGACTGCCTGGCACAAGGTAGGTACCAAATCAATCTCTAATAGATGAGTAGATAATTGTGACTCACCTCCTCACCACCTTCCTAACCTAACAAGTAATAATCAACAGATTTAACTGGAACTCTTTCTTTGGTAAGACAGAGAAAGATGACTTTTTCATTAGTTTGGTTGCTAAGGTAGACCACTCAAAGCCAGACATATATACCATTTTATTCTCATTAAAATTGCTGCTTCTCGGGGCACCTGGGTGGCTCAGCGGGTTAAAGCCTCTGCCTTCAGCTCAGGTCATGATCCCACGGCCCTGGGATCGAGCCCCGCATTGGGCTCTCTGCTCAGCAGGGAACCTGCTTCCCTTCCTCTCTTTCTGCCTGCCTCTCTGCCTACTTGTGATCTCTGTCTTTCAAATAAATAAATAAAATCTTTTTTAAAAATAAATAAATAAATTCTTAAAAAAAATTGCTTGCTTCTCATCACATACACATATATGAAAACCAATCCCAGATGACCTTTAAAGTAACTTCTAATTTTTTTAATTAAACAAACAAAAAAAACCCCAAATCCATTTGATTCTTACCAGTAAAACATAATAACAATTAAAATATAGAAATAATACTTATCTAATAAAAATTCTAGGTAAAAATACTTTGTGGATACATATGCAATGTCCATTTAGTAAGTGATGGAAAAGGAGCAGGCACTGAAAAACAAAATCATATTTTAGTCTGATTCATTGTTCTTTTCATGTCCGAGATGCTGTTATTTAAACATATGATAAAATATTAATACCTAGAAATTCCATAAAGATAGTTTCATTTATTTTTAGTTGTTCAGTACATGCCAATACTCTATTTTGAATTTCTTCATGTTCTCTTTTCTTCTTATAATACTCTTGTGAAAGGGGTGTTTCTGAGTATTTTAACTGATACTGCTTCAAAACATCTTTATACTGACATATATAACCATGGTACATTTTTCTGTTAAAATTAAAAGAAATGATGACAATATAACAAGAATATATCTAAAAACTTTCTAAGCATCACCTGTTAAAGTCTAAAAAGTTAAGCATAAAAGGCAAGTCAAATGCCAACTTATCCGTTTCCCTCAATACTCTTTACCTTTCAAATTTTCCTTAACTTCATTACACTTTTCAACTCTCTACTTTTTCTCTTCTCTGAGTTATTCCTTACCCCTCTCAGTTTTACTCCCGCCATTCCAAAGGAACTGCCCTCCTCCCAGAAAAGAAAAGAAACTGCCCTTCTCAAGGTCACCAATGATCTAGTTGTCTAACTCCGGGATCTTTTTATTTCTTATCTTAGTTAATACTGCAGAACCTACTTTTTTAAAAAAGTTTTTATTTATCCCAGTTAGTTAACATACAGTGTAATACTAGTTTCAGGTGTACAATATATTTCATTCATCACCCAGTGCTCCTTATAAGTGGACTGCTTAATCCCCATTATGTACTTAACCCATCTCCCCAGCTATTTTCCCTTCTGGTAGCCATCAGTTTGTTCTCTATAGTTAAAGTCTGTTTCTTGGTTTGCCTCCCTCTCTCTTTTTTCCCTTTTTGTTAGTTGTTTCTTCAATTCCACATATAAGTGAAATCATATGGTATTTGTATTTTTCTGATTTTCTTTGCTTTGCATAATACTTTCTAGCTCCATCCATGGCATTGCAAATGGCAAAATTTCTTTCTTTTTTATGGCTGAGTAATATTCCATTGTATATAGGTACCACATCTTCTTTATCTTCCATCTGTTGATGGATACTTGGGTTGTTTCCATAATTTGACTGTTGTAGAAGATGCTGCTATAAATATTGGGGTACATGTATCCCTTTAATTTAGTATTTTTTTATTCTTTGAGTAAATACCTACTAGTTCAATTGCTGGATCATAGGGGTTCTATTTTTAACTTTCTGAGGAACCTCCATACCACTTTCCAGAGTAGCTGCACCAGGTTACATTTCCACCAAGAGTGCAGAGGGTTCCCCTTTCTCCCCAACCTTGCCAACACCTGCTGTTTCTTGCGTTGTTGGTATTTGGGACCTCATCAAAATAAAAAGCTTCTGCACAATGAAGGAAACAACAAAAGTAAAAAGCAACTTATGGAATGGGAAAAGATACTTGCAAATCAGACATATCTGATAAAGGGTTAGTATCCAAAATATATAAAGAACTTGCAAAACTGAACATCCAAAAATAAACAGTCCAATTAAAAATGGGCAGAACATGTGAATAGACATTTTTCCTAAGAACATACACAGAGGGCCACCAGATACATGAAAAGATGCTCGATATCACTCATCATCAGGGAAACACAAATCAAAACTAAAATGAAAACCTCATTTTTCCAATGACTTCCTGATCTCTATCCTCCCTGAGGTTTTCGGTTTCTACCCTCCCCAGTTCAGCTACCTCTGTAATTATGCTTTTTAAACTTTCAATTCTCTAAGCTGACATTTTAATAGGAAGTCATGCTTTATGTGTTAGAGCTCTGGGTTCACAATCATTCTTATATACACCATAACTATTTATGAAGAAAATTTCAGCACTGTTTGGAAGAGCTCCTCCAGTCCAATTCAGGTAGAGGTGGATGGTCACCAATTTGGGCACAAGTCTTAAGTGGACAGTTAATTCTTACAAAAGGATATTAACCCTTTTCATTTGACTTTTTTAAACCAATGGGCCAAATTCAACCTTATACCTGTTTTTGTATGGCCTGTGAGCTAAGAATAAGTTTTGCATTTTAAAATAATTGAAAAAATCAAAATAATAATATCTCATGACACATTAAAATTATATGAAATTCAAGCTATAATATCCACAAATAAAGTTTTATTAGAACACAGCAATTCATTTACATAGCGTCTAAAGCTGTTCTTGCATTACAACAGCAGGGTTGAATATCAGCAGAGACTGTATAACACATAAAGCCTAAAATATTTACTATTTGGCCCTTAATAACAATTTTAAAAATCTGTCTATCCTAATCTACAGCAGTGAAAATGTTCAATCCAGGTTCTTTACAGGAAATATATTCCTAGATCCTCTTTTTACCCAATTCTTATCATATACTTAGCATCAAGATATGATATTCATTGAAAATCTTCTAAAAATAGATAGTCCTTATGCTCCTCAAAATTCTGTAAATTTTCTAAATCAAGACATACTATACAGGGATATTTATTTAAAGATATTATACTGATTATCTCATCTTAGCAGCTGAGAAAACAAGAACAGTTTTTATAAATGTTTGTATACTCAGGAAAAAAAAAACTAAGGATAACAGTATTGTACTGGTCAGCAGATCTGAATCTTCTGAATGTTTTAATTTGTTTGATATACTAAACTCTGTCCCCTTTCATAAAATAAAACATTTGAGCCCAAAACAAACTCTTATTCCTCTAAATATACATTTGCTAATTACTCTCTCACTTTGGGGGGAAACGGTGCAGAGAAGAGGGAAATATCTATTAGAAAACTGAGTCTGAGTCACCAGTTTCAGATGAAATTAACATACCACATTTACCCTATTCATGTTATATATTCATGCCCACTCTTCTTATATACTCCATACAGGAACTTTAGCAGAGACCAGCATAGCCTGACTATCTCACCTGTTGCCAACAATACTTCAATGTCTAGAATGGAAGATTAGGAGAAACAAGAAGCTGGTACCTCTATTTCCTTCAGTACTCATGATACCAGCAAATGGGAGTCTTTTTCTTCTATACATGTCTGATATTGAGTCATCACTTCAACCAACCTATGTGGTTTTTTTAAGAAAGACCTGTTTTCACTTTAATACCTTTAGCTACCTAAGAGAAGTCATCCACAACAAACACTATTAGAGAGGTACATATTTAAACTGCTTTGTTTTAGCCCCTCATAGAAGCATTTTAATAATGTTTTACAACCTTGACTTGCATTGAGAGATGTTCTAAGGAGAAGTTATATGTATGTATGTATGTATGTATGTATATATGGTGTTTATTTGGGGGAGGCCACTGAAGAAGGTAACTGACTACCATGCTGCATAAGTCCCTTTTCATGAAAACTCAGGGGAGAAATTTCTCTCAAATCTCATTACCAGAAAAAACCTCTGCTTATCCTAAACAGCTGAGCTGGGCTCCTTCCTTCCTTCCTTCCTTTTTTTAAGAGAGGATGGAAGAAAATAATCTGAATTGTGTTATGAGGTCCCCCGGGTTAGGGTACCTCACCTCACCTCACCTCACCCACTGAACTAACTCACTTTGCTGCCTGTGAGTCTGTTCCAAGCTTCAGCTAAGGAGGCATCTGCCAGAACCCTTCCCAAGAGCAGTGCCCACTCTGCCCTCAGTGCAAGGCCCTTTACTCTGGGAACTCACCTCCCCAAAACTCAGGAAGGACCCAGTTAGGGCCACTTTTGAACAACTGAATTGTTTGGTTTTTTTTTTTTAAAGATTTTTTATTTCTTCATGTAACAGAGAGAGAGAGATCACAAGTAGGCAGAGAGGCAGGCAGAGAGAGAGGGGGAAGCAGACTCCCCACTGTGCAAAGACCCGATGTGGGGCTCGATCCCAGGACCCTGAGATCATGACCTGAGCCAAAGGCAGAGGATTAAGCCACTGAGCCACCCAGGTGCCCAAACAACTGAATTGTTTTTTAAATGAATACTCTGAATCTCAAACTGATCACATTTCTACAATGCTTTGGATGATAGCGTATGCTAGCTTTCTCTTCTTTTTGCACTATACATTTCCCTGGGCAATCATCTATTTCTATGATTTCAAATGCCATAGAAGTCCAAATCTATTACTTTGGTCCCCACCTTCTCCTCTTAAGGCCCATCTTTAAATATAGAGTACTACAGTCTAGATTTTGTATGTGTAGGTTTTTTTTTTTTAAGAATTTATTTATTTATTTAACAGAGAGAGGGAGAGAGAGAGAGAGAGAGAAAGAGAGAATATAAGCAGGGGGAGTGGAGAGGGAGAAGCAGGCTTCCTGCTGAGCAGGGAACCTGAAGCAGGGCTCAATGACCCTGGGATCATGATCTGAGCCAAAGGCAGATGCTTAACAAGTGAGCCACTCAGATACCCATGTATGTGTGTTTTTAATTAAAATATAAAAATTGGAGTGATGTCAGCAAGATGACAGAATAAAATATCCCTCATGTGTACTGCCCCAACAAAAATAACAATTTAGCATCCAACCAAGGACAAAAGTGTGTTTGTGGGATCTCTGGGATCCAAGTAGAAGTCTGTGAAATCCTGGTGTAGTCCAAGACTGAGGAGAGTCATTTTGAGAAGGCAGGCTGACATCCTGGTGGGTAACTTATTAACTGTGGTCCTGGCTACAGCCCTATAAACAGTTCAGTACCCACTGAGAACTCTGCTACAGCCCTATTTGGCTTTGGGTCTGTTACTAGCACCATACATCAAAGGACCCAGAAGGAGTCATGCCCACCCGAGTATTAGGTAATAGGCATACATACCCTGGTCCAGCTATAGACTCTGAAGTGACACTGAACCAGCTCCAGTCTTTATGTCTGCAATCCAGGAGCCCCCTGGAGATTAGTCTGCCAAACTTATTCAGACTACAGATTCTGAAAGGGCCCTATAACTGGGCTCTAGCCCATCCCAGCCACAGTCACCAAAGAGTCCTGCTCACACAGGGACCCAAGCAGGACATACTTATGTCCGTACCCCCTGATAATCCTGAAAAGACCTTATCCTTGATTCCAACCCCCTCACAGCCACGGTTTTTCAGCAGTACTAAGGGTCTAGTTCCCAGTGGGAGACTCTCTTATCTGTACCCTACTAGATTCTAAAGAGCCATATACTTGGTTCTAGGTCTCTCACAGCCAAAAGCCATCAGCAGAACTGCCAGCCTTGGAACCCAAAAATACTCCTGTATGTACCCCTAGAGATCCTAAAAGGGCCCTATACTTGGCTCCAGTCCCTCCAGCTACAGTCAAGGAGTACTCCAGCCTAC